GGGACGGCTATATAAACTACTGCAAAGTGTACACCAATGCCTTTCCCAACGGGTTCGTGACTAATAAACTGCAAAATATTAGATGTCCGACCCTGGTGTTTCACGGCGATATGGTTAGCAAAATATAGTTATTGTTTTATTAGCAAATATATACTCATGGTATTTGACTTAATTTGTTGTGTATTAGGACCCATTGTGTAGTTTGGATCACTCCCTACATGTCGAGAAAAATATCCCATACTGTCAGTTGCATCGATTCAAAAAGGGTGGTCATAACAGTCACCATAAGTACCCGTCTGAGTTTCTCAGAATAACCGAGAATTTCCTTAAGGAATGCAATGAATTTCATTGAGAGTTAAAAATAATTTATACAAAAACTTGTTTTCCAATTTATGACGCTATTGTAATGACTTAACTGAATATTAATTGTTTTATTTAAATCTTATAGCAAACGAAAGTGTTGTTTTGAATATTTTATTTACTTAATTAAAATTCATATTATATATATATTTTTATGGGAACACTTTTTAAAAGTTATAAATCAAAAAATTTTAAATGGCAATAAAAATGAAAATTTGTCTTTAAACAAAAACTTGAATAATAAATTTATTGAATGGTTCAACAAATCAAATAATTATCACAAATATTGGGATTTTTGTGCCGTTTGCCAGCAAAATATCAGCAAAATAGTAATTCTGGGAAAAATTGAGATAAATCTGTAGTGAAAAATCATACGATTGTAGAAGTATTGCAAAAATCAATTTATTTGTTTATGTTTCAAAATACGAGTTTTTCATATGAGGAAAGTTTTACCATTAAATTAATAATCACTTTGAAGTGAAACAGGTTGGTATACACGGTATACACCGTTAGCGTACACTTTATGACACAATTGACCTAAAATTATATTTAATTATTTTATACTCCATAGTCTTATTGAAACTGACTTTATGAATACGTGTTTATTTGTATTAAATCTATAATACTTATAAATACTAAACATAAACTAATTGAAGTAATTATGACGAGTGCAAGTTTTGAAGTGAATGGTTGGCCCTTATGGTATGATAAGTATGGTACCGGCCCATCACCAGTGCTCATGATTCCCGGTGCTTTGGGTTTGTTGATAATTTTATTTATTTATCATATTACTAATGTGTAAATAAAATAATATTTTCTTATAATTAAATGCTTTTTATTGACGACAGGCACCGGAAAAATGGATTTTTATGAGCAATTAGAAGGAGACGATGCACTGGACCTCAACAAATTCACAATCATTGCCGTAGACCCTCCGGGTTGGGGCAGATCCAGACCCCCTGTCAGGGCGTATAACAAAGATTTATATAGTAATGATGTGGACTGTTACTATAAATTAATGAAAGTATGAACAA